CCCTCTACCCACCAAATGCCCATAGTATATACCCCAGATTGTTACCATGTCTTAGAATATATCCAGCTATTGCCACATGTCTTCTGAATGGCAAAAATCTTCCCCTTCTTCACCTTGGGAGCTTCTCATCTAGGTGATCATGTGACCCAGAATCATCTACACAGATACCTATCTGTGATTTTTAAAAAACTTTTAAATTTTATTTATTTAATGTCTGTCAGTGTTTTGTCTGCAGGTATGTCTGTGCAACACGTGCATATCTAGTGCCCTTGAGGATGAAGAGGGCATTGGATCCCCTTGAACTAGAGTTACAGAGTGTGTAACCATATAAGTCACCATATGAGTGCTAAGAATTGAACTCAGGTTCTCTGGAAGAGCAACCAGTGCTCTTAATGACTGAGCCATCTCTCCAGCCCCCTTCTCTGTGGCTTCTGAATTGGAGCTACAAGGAGAAGTGCTTCTCCCAATTGGATGTTAGGGTTTTAGGGATGCAGTTGTGAAGCCATGCTCTTTGTACACATAGAGAACTCACACAGAGAAGGGAAGAATTGGCATACAAACATAGAGATAAAAGGACAGAGGACCTTGGAGTACACAAGACCTCTGGGTACAGGGGACTTTAGGGTACTAGAGTTCTTATTTTTGTTGTCTAATGGCCAACCACACTTGTCTACCTGTCAGCCAGATAAAAAACAAAAAGGCCACCTAAACTAAAACAGTGGCTCATACAGAAGGAAATATCACACACACACACACAACACACACACACACACACACACACACACACACCTCAATGCTCAAGTGCTCAAGTGGTTCTAGGTAGACCAATGACTCTGTCTATAACATTGCCCAAAGATTTTTTTCCTATCTGTGGCTCCCTCCAGCTGTTACCATCATTTACAGAATCCATCCTGGCTTCCCAGGACTTTGTCTTCCCCAAATTTGTAGGAAGAAGATACAGAGAGTGTGTGGGCTCTGAACGCTTTCTTTTAAGGATGTGAAGTGTAAGTTATATATGTAACTTTTTTTTCACATGAGTTGAGCCAAAGTTTAGGCATCTGGCCCCACATAACTCCAAGGGAGACTGAAACTGTAGCCATGTGTCCTGTCGATGTTCAGAGGTGGTTCTTAACTAAAACGAAGAAGGGGAAAGTGGAGACAGAGAAAAATGATAGTCCCAACCATACAATAGTCCCACAAACAAAATCTTTCTAAGTCTTGGCTTTATAGTTTGTGTAAAGAGATAGGTAGCAAATCTTTTGGCTTTTGGTGTCATATACTGTCTGTGTTGCAGATTATCCTTTATTTTATTTTTATACAACTCAATTAACATGTAATGCAACATTCATACAAAATCAGATCGTGTGTACATGTGGAATCTAACCTGCCCATCCTTAAGTTATGTAAACTAAAATTTAAAAAAATCTGTAGTCTTTTTCAATTAAATACAGCTTTTACTTTAACATGCATGCATATGTATGTGCACACCACAGTGTGCATGCAGAAGTCAGAGAGCAACTTGCAGGGGTTAGTTTTATTCCTCCACCATGTGGGCCCTAGGGATCCAACTCAGGTCCCCAGGCTTGGCCAAAAGTTTTCTCACCCTCTGAGCCATGAGCCATCTTGCTGACCCAACCTCAAGAGTTTAAACCTGTGCCCTACCCCCAGCCTTGAGCAGGCCTGAAAGACCTTCTTTACCACAATAGATCAAATAATAGAACCTAGGTAGAGTTGCCCACCTTGGTTGCATGTACAACCTGCTACAGGAACTTAGAAGAATAAACTGCCCACTGAGCTTGCCTTGAGACATCTCCAGCAGTGACTAAAGATGGGTTCCCCCACCCATCTCCGGCTGAAACAAAGAAATGAGAAATTCTGTGCTCATGTTTTTCTTCTTTAATTTTTATTAAAGATTTATTTTATGGCTTCTTCTCCCTCCTCCTCCTCCTCCTCCTCCTCCTCCTCCTCCTCC